CTCCCAAGTGCTGAGATTATAGGCATGTACCACACGATACCTGGCTTTAAAGGCTCTTTTAAAAGTTTTTTTTTTTTTAAAGAAGTCTGTTTTGTAAAACCTGAAAAATTTATAACAAATTTATCTAGAGGTAGAGTCTTCATATATTTTCATGTATTTCCATTGTTGTGTGGAGACAGGGTCTCACTGTGTAGTTCAGGCTGATCTTGAGCTTAATATGTAGCCCAGGCTGGTCTGGAACCTGTGGCAGTTCTTTTGCCTCAGCCTCCTAGTGCTGGGATTACAGGTATGCGCCCCATGCCAACCTTTGTTTTCTTATTAACTAATTTGAGGTTGGGAAACTGTTACATGAATATAGTCTCTCATTGGAAGAAATTCAAAGCTATAGTAGTTAAAGCTAATGTTACTGACTTTTCTCTCTAATTTCATAGAGATACTGTTTAGTTTTGATATATTTCCTAGGCATTTTTCTTTATCAGAAATAAGGTGTTGGGCTGAGAATTTAGCTCAGTGGTGCCATTCCTGCCTTACAAGTACGAGGTCCTGAGTTCAATCCCCAGTATCAAAGGAAAGAAGGTATTATTTTATGGTATCGAAAAAGCCCATGGTCCCGAGATCTGTCCCCGGAACAAAACAAATAAGATTATAAGAGAATTTTGGGCTGGGAATTTAGCTCAGTGGTTCTGCCACCTGTCTTCCAAGTGCAAGGTCCATAGTTCAATCCCCAGTCCCCCCCCCCACTCAAAAAAAGCACTTCTCTGCATCCTTGGGGAAGGTCAACTAAACAGTATGTTTTCAAGCAAACAATAGGATGGTGTAAGAAAGACTTTATTTTTTGTGGTGCTGGGAATAAAAATCCCAGGCCTCACATGTGCCATGTAAGAATTTTACTCTTTAAATTGCTTTATGGTGTTAAATAATGTGCATACATCATATTTTATTTAACTAGTCTCCCCCAAGAGATATTTTGGGAGTTTCCATTTTTTATTATTTCAGTGTTTTGTTTTGTTTTGTTTTTTTGAGACAGGGTCTCACTATGTAGTAAGACTGACCTGGAACTCACTATGTAGCTCAAGCTGGTCTAGAACTCACAGCAATCCTCCTGCGTCAGCCTCCCGAGAGCTGGGGTTACAGGTGTGCGCCACCACACTTCGCCTCTATTTCAGTGTTTTTATTATTTATTATTTTTAGTGGTTTTTGTCCTCCACCTCCTCTTCCTCCTTTTTCTTCCTCCTCTTCCCCCTCCTCCCCTCCTCCCCTCCTCGTTCTTCTTTTGTGGTTTTTGTTTATTTTTAGTCAGAGTCATGCTATGTAATTCAGGCTGGTCTGGAACTCTGCATGTAGCCCAGGCTGGCCTCAGACTTAGAGCAGTGCTCCTCAGTGTTTGGCTGAGAGGCATGTGCCACCTCACCTGGGGCAATGTTGTGTTTCTGTCCTTTCAAATTTATTCATTTACTTGGTAAATACTGATTTCCTGCCATATACTAAGTACTATTTGTAGCATTAGGAATTAGCAGGGGAGCAAGACTTGAAAGCACTTAAAGGAATGAGGGTAAAAGAATAAAGAATTTTATTTTTAATTTTGTTTGTTTGTTTTTTGAGCCAGTCTTGAATATATAGTTCAGGCTGGTCTTGAACTCACAGTGATCCTCCCACCTTAGCCTCCCAAGTGTTGGAATTGCAGGCACTGTGCCCCACCATATTTTTAACAAGCAAATCTTTTATTGAAATATAATATACTGAAAAGTACATTGTGGTTAAATAGCTGTAGAAGTTTGTGCAGGGGGAAAAACATGTAAATAATTAAATTTCACTTTCTTTTCCCTCAAAGAGATTCTAAGAGGGCCTGTAAAAATTATTTTGATGATAAAAGATGGTAACATACTATGTATTTATTTAATGTTTTTCTTTAAAATAGGATACTTTCCTTGCATTTGTGGATTCAAAGTATCCTCATCCAGATGTATAGCCGCTGAAATATTAGGCATATAAAATAGTGCAACCAGGGCTGGGGATTTAGCTCAGAGGTTCTGTCACCTGCCTCGCAAGTACAAGGACCTGAGTTCCATCTCCAGTATCAAAAAGATAATAATTAATAAAATAGTGCAACCAAGTTGGCAGCATACTAATATTGCTAGTTTTTTATTTAAAATTTTTGTATGTAGTATATAATGATTACATTCATCATGGGAAGTTAATAAATACATGTAACACATCCTAATTTTTCCCTTCCGCTAGCTTTTTTTTTCCTTAAGCAAATCTATGTCTGTAATATGCTGGAGCATTGAAAGGTACCCTTTCTAGGTACAAGATCCCAATAATGACTGTAACTGTACTGTATACCTAAAATGTACCAATAAACTCAATTAAAAAAAAAAAGAAGGTAACCCTTTCTAGCTTTGTTTTATTTTGTTTTATTTAGGTACCAGGGATCAAACTCAGGACCTTGCGCTTGTGAGGCAGGTGCGGTGCCACTGAGCTAAATCCTCAGTCCTCTAGCTTTTTTTTATACAAAGTAAAATTCCATTATTCATTAAATTTGTTAGAAATTTGAAATGGGGACGTTACGAGAAAATGTTATTTTTTCATGCAGTAATGCCAAAAATGAATGTCATAATCTTTGGGGTGAATTTGAGTACAACATAATCTTGTATGTGATTTAATCCCTAATTCATATAATCAGCATTAAACAAATGGATAAATAGATGTAATTTGTATTTTTCGAATTGTTGGTAATTTGGTCAAAGGGGTTGTTGTCACTCCCTTTCTTTATTGCTTTTGTACCATCCCTGGCTTCCCCTATGCTGAGGATCATAACTTTGGCCTTTGGCCTGCTAGGCAAATCCTGTATCACTGAGCTGTCTCCAGCCCTCAGCATTTGTTGAGTGGTCTGGCTTGTATTTGGGGAGCATGTAGGGATAGTGTAAGGATAGATCTGTGAACCTTCACACGTGATAAAATTGGGTAGACCTAGCTGGGTATGGTGGCGCACACCTGTAATCCCAGCACTCCAGAGGCTGAAGTAGGGGACTAGCAGGGTCACTGCTAGTTCAAGGCCAGCCTGAACTACATAGTGAGACCCTGTCTTCAAAAAACAAACAAACAAACAAAAATTGGTAGAGCTAGATGCGTATAAGTAAAACTGAGGAAATGTGAATTAAGGTAGATGGGTTATATCAGCATCAGTTGTGCTTTTACAATAACAGTTTTGGTAAATGTTCTCCCCAGGATATGTTAGCTTTGTTTATTATAATGAAATACTTGAGATGAGAGAATTGTAAATTTAAAAGCTTTTTTTTGGTATTGGGGATCAAAACTTGTGTCCATGCATTTGCGAGGCAGGTGGTGGAACCACTGAGCTAAATCCCCAGCCCGAAAAAGTTTTATTTTGACCCACAGTTTTGGAGATCCCAGTCCAAGATTATAGGGGTCAGTTTGCTTTGGGCCTCTGACAAGGGAGTACATCATGACAGGAGTGTGAATGACAGAGCAAAAATACATCCATGTCAGGAAGCAAAGCAAAAAATGAGACTGGGGCTCCACAGTTCCTTCCCACTAGACCTGTCTTAGTTACTTTCCCATTGCTGAGACAAAAATAGCCAACACCCAAAGTTAAAGGAGGAAATTTTTGGTTTTGGTTTTGGTTTTTGGTTTGTTTTGGTTTTGGTTTTTTGAGACAGGGTCTCACTATGTAGTTGAGACTGACCTGGAACTCACTGTGTAGCCCAAGCTGGTGGTCTCGAACTCACAGTGATCCTCTTGCCTCAGCCTCCTGTGTGCTGGGGTTATAGGCGTGTGTCACCACACCTGGCAAAGGAGGAAAGATTTATTTGGCTTATAGTTTGTACAGTCAGCCTATAACCAGCCGGCTCTAAGATAGAGTGGCATGGCAGATAGGCATCACAGAGGATAAACAGTTCATGATGGACCAAAAGTAGCAAAGCAAGCAAGGAACCTTAACAATATCTTTCTACTCCTTTTATCCAGACTAGCAAGATTAGGGTGGTGCCAAACCAATCAGTGGACTGATTGAGAAATCATATTCCCTCAATCTCAATATCACACACTCTAGATTGAGACACCTCTAAAAAAGCCCTATGACCACATGAAGCTTTGGGGAACATCTAGACCCCAAACCATAACAAGGCCTTTTCCCCCTAATGGGAGATAGATAGAACCTATCTCCCAGTAGCACCAGCTTGGGGCCAAGCCTATGGACTCTTGGGAAACACTTAACCAGACCATACCAAGGAGAAACTAAAATGTATACTGGATACCCCTATCTTATTTCCTATAACTGTCTGGGAATCTGTACTATAATTCTCTTAGTAAAGAATTTAAATTAAGGGTGGCTCAGTGGTGTAGAGCACGTGCTTAGCCATGGGTGGTTTCTGGTTCAGTGTGTAGCATTAGAAGAAAAGAAATGATAAGGGGAAGAATGTATTCTGGATAGAGAATATATTATCCGAGTTTCACTGCTCCTAAAATAAAACAGCATGTACTTTTTGCTGAGCCACTAGCTTAGTTTAAGTGATAATTTTCATAAAAGCACATCCATTACAGTAAGACTGAACAGATGAAATTGTCACTTTTATAATGTGTCAGTTTGGGTGCTATTTATTGCTTTGTCTGCACTTCGCCTTACTCTGTTGTCTTCCACCAAGTATAGCAATTCAATATTTTAAATCTTTCAAATAGTTGCCTTATCAGAAAAATGTCTATGAAATAATATGGTATCTGCTATGTAGATAAAGAATGTTATACAGTGTGTTACTCAGGTAGCTGAGGCAGGAAGGACTGCTGCATGTTTGAGGCCAGCCTGGGCTACAAAGTAAGTTCCAAGCCAACCTGAGCTACATAGTGAAACTGTCTCCAAAAAAAACCCAAAGCCCTACTTTCTTTCTTTGTAGATGATTTGTTTTGGGTATTGTTTAGGAATTTGTATGTTTTATTGTTAAAAGTGTCATGTTTTAATCAGAACCCTCACTTTTTTTTTCTAGGAATAAAAAGATTGGTTTGGCTCAATTATCATTGGCGTTTTAGTTTTTTCAATTTAAAGGTAATCTGCCTGTTCAGTTCACCAGTCATATAGACGTAATATAACTTTGGTTGGAGGCCGGGGGATTTAGCTCAGTGGTTTCACTGCCTGCTTTGCAAGCACAAGGTCCCGAGTTTGATCCTTTGTACCAAAAATAAATAAATACATTTAAGGCTGAGCCTCATCCTTTTTTGTTATTTTTTGTTTTTGGAGACAGGGCCTCCCTATATAGTCCAGGTTGGCCTTGAACTCACTATATAGCCCAAGCTGCTCTCACACTTGGGGTGATCCTTCTGTCTCAGCCTCTCGAGTGCTGGGATTATAAGCATGCCTGGTATTTAGGTCTCATCTTTTTTTTTTTTTTTTTTTTTTAGCCATGGTCACTGTTGTTCAAGCTGGTTCTGAACTCACTATATAGCGCAGGCTGTCCTTGAACTTGTGGTGATCCTCCTGCCTCAGCCTCCAGGTGCTAGGATTATAAGCAAGTGCTACCATGCCTGGTAGCAAGTCTTTTCCATTTTAGTCAAAAAATGCAATCTAATCTTTGAAAAGCAAGTGATAATCATGTGATTTACCTCCTGGAATTATAGAAATAAATTTAAACTATATTTCTGGTTTATGCTCTGTAGAATTGTTTTCTTCGGGTATGCATAAAAAACTTTGCTTACCTGAAACTGTATTTCACTCACAGATTGAATGAAGTATTGGAACCATGGGAATAAAGGTTCAGCGTCCTCGATGTTTTTTTGATATTGCCATTAACAATCAACCTGGTAAGATTATTGACATTCCTACCATAGTTAACATTTATATATTAGTATTTAGTATTTTGAATTAATAAAGAAACTTACACCAACTACTTTATTTTACAGCTGGAAGAGTGGTCTTTGAATTGTTTTCTGATGTGTGCCCCAAAACATGCGAGAACTTTCGTTGTCTTTGTACAGGTTTGTTTATAAATTTTCAGCTGGCCTAATAATTCTTAGAAATATTAATTATAATGTCATTTTATCTGAAATTTATTTCATTACTCCCAAAAAATCTCAAATTTTTTGAAAGAATTTTTTTTTTTAAATTCTGAAAGGAATGAAAATTCTCTGGTTTAAGGAAGTCTATAAAGTCCAAGAGGAGGGGGTCTGTTTTACAGGGCAAAATCCTTCATGATTAATTTTGTTTTATACATTTTATTTTTTATCCACTAAATGTTGTGCTAATTTTTCTTTACAGGAGAAAAGGGGACAGGGAAATCAACTCAGAAGCCATTACATTATAAGAGTTGTCTCTTTCACAGAGTTGTTAAGGATTTTATGGTTCAGGGTGGTGACTTCAGTGAAGGTAAGACTGATTCAAGAAAAGAAAATCATATATTTATATTTTTATTAAATATAGATCATAAAGTTAGGTAAATCTTGAAAAGTCTTAGTCTGATTTTGTTCTCACTCCATTTAATCTTTGGTCAGGTACTTAGACATATTCTTGGAAATATATAAAAGAAGAAAGCACATAAAAGATAATTATACTTTTTCTCCCCCCTGGTTTTGGGAATAAACCCAGAGCCTTTACATGCTACCCAATTGCTCTAATTCCCTAGCCCAGTTTCAAACCTTTCTTATATGAATTGATTTTAGAAATGTGCTTCTGGATACAAAATATTCTATCTCTAAATTGGTGAGTGTATGTGTTTGATTTTTGTCAGAACTGGTAGTCTTTACAGATTTCCCTAGGCATCTTCAGTGTATAAATATTACACTTCTTAAAGATGCTTTGGAAAAAAATGTAATTAATGCCTGTTAAAATACTTACAACATAGTAAACATTACAGTTTGAAAGCTCTTATGTTAATGAATACTTAATGGGCTTTGTCATATTCTTACCATAGTATCATAGGGGAAAGAAAATAAATTGGACTGGGCATGGTGGCACACACCTATAATCCCAGCATTCGGGAGGCTGAGGTAGGAGGATTGCTGTGAGTTTGAGGCCAGCCTGGACTAGGGAATGAGTCCAAGGCCAGCCTGGAATACACAGTGAGACCTTGTCTCCAGAAGAAAGAAAAGAAAAAGACAGAAAAAAATTTGGGGTCTTGTCATTGACATTAGATCAGTATCTTTGGAGGGGACCAGTACGGGGGATAGAATCCAGTATTGCACATGTGCTAGGCAGGTGCTCCTCACTGAGCTGCATCTGACACACTGAGCTGCACTGAGATGGGGTCTCTCTCATTTTCTGAGGCTGGCCTCAGCTGTGATCCTTCTACCTCAGCCTCCCTCAGACCTGGAATTACATGTGTGCAGCACTGCAACCCACAAATTACATGGATTCTCCATGAATTTTTAAAAATCATTGGTTCAGAATCATTCAAACTACTTTATAGGGAATATTTTGTTTAGGTGGCACTTTCAAGGAGTTAAGTATCTCGAGAGTTCTAAGAGTCTTGTGTTTTTCATTCTTAGGAAATGGAAGAGGAGGAGAATCTATTTATGGGGGATTTTTTGAAGGTAAAAATGTTTACATATTCACTAATTACCACACTAACATCCAACTACCTGCTAATGTAAAGGTTCATTTTAAAAAATTTTATGTTTACACTTTTTGTAGAGATGGGATTTATTTTGGCTTTAGGCCATTAGTAGCATACTATTTGAAGAAGAGTTTCTGTAATGTATACTGAACTTTTAGAATTACAGTGCTAGAATAGGAACTTCCATAGGTGACCTTTATTAAAGGAGATTCAGGGGTATTTCGTGATTAAAAATACCCACATTTTAACAATGTTCTTGTGGGTTTTTTTTTGTTTTTTGAGACAGGGATTTGCTATGTAGTTTAGTCTGGCCTTGAGCTCACTTTGGAGCCTGGGCTGGCCTTGAACTGGTGGTGATCCTCCTGTCACAGCCTTCTGAGTGCTGGAATTACAGGTGTATACCACCATAGGTGTTTTCTATGAAAAATCTTATAAAATCTTTTTGACATTCTAAAATTTGGCCAATTTTTTTAAGTTTTAAGTATTTTTGTCTGCTATTTTTATTTGTTTGTTTTTGAGACAGGGTCTCTCTATGTATTTGAGACTGACCTAGAACTCACTATGTAGCCCAGGCTGGTCTGGAACTAACTCACAGTGATCCTCCTGCCTCAGCCTCCCAAGTGCTGGGATTACAGGTGTGCACCACCACACCTGGCTGGCTCCAATTTATTGATGTGAAGATCATTTGGAATATTATAGGCACGTGATGTGTGTGATTCATTGGCTTCAATCTTTCATATTTAGTTTTCAGTGAAATTTTATTTCAAATTCCACATGCCTTGTTCTCATATTCTAATCCCAGTTTCAAAGACAAGTTTCTGTTGTGTCCTGTTTCCCCACCACCACTACCATGAGGGATTGCACTCGGGATCTTGCACTTGAAAGGCAGGCACAGTGCCACTGAGCTAAATCTCTGGCCCTAAGTTTCTGTCTCTTTGTTTTGTTTTGTTTTCTTTCTTTTTTTAGATTTTTTTTTTTAAAGTTTCTGTTTTTTTGGTACCGGGGATCAAACTCAGGTCCTTGCACTTGCGAAGCAGGCCACCAAACCGCTGAGCTAAATCCCCAGCCCTAAGTTTCTGTATTTTTAATGAATGATTCTATAAGGAGTTTAAGTTAAAGAGTCCAATCTAAATAGTATTATGTGTGTTTCTCCTATTGGATTCTGTCTTTCTGTGTGTGTGTGTGTGTGTGTGTGGTGCTGGGATCAAACCCAAGTCCCTGAACATGGTAGGCAAACCAAGGGATAGAAAATTATAGATACTTTAATATAAAAAAATGGGAGAGATAGACTCATTTCATAACCTAACTTTTTAATCTAACTTATATTTGGAACTACAATATACATCTATTAAAAAATGTTTTGTAGACTATACTTAAAATTTAACTGAAAACATTGCTTTCTTTAGATGAGAGTTTTGCTGTTAAACACAACAAAGAATTTCTTTTGTCGATGGCCAACAGAGGGAAAGACACAAATGGTTCACAGTTTTTCATGTAAGTATTTATGATCTGTTGATTTAAGTACCTCATTTTTTTCTATTGTTACCTATCTTCCATTGATCATTAATAAATAGGAGAGGAGGGGGCCGGGGATTTAGTGATTCTCCCACCTTCCTCGCAAGCACAAGGACCTGAATTTATTCCCCAGTACCAAAAATAGGAGAGGATCCCTAAGTGGGAAAAATGTTTAATGGGGTGGAACAAAGAATTATTGAAGTGGGTGGTGAACTGTGCTGCTAAAGTTTTCAAATGTTGGAGCTTTGTTATAAGAACATGAGAGCTAGCTGAAAGAGATCTACTGGCCAAATTAGTAGAGTTTGAACATCAATAATAACAGATTGTAATCAAATAAAATAATCTTGGAATCCCTACTGCTAAATAGTAGTCCTATCTTATATGTAGTTTTGCTTTTCACATTTTGTTCCCTATTGTCAACCATGGTCTATAATGTATAGAAAATTCTAGAAATCATAAATTTTAAATTCTGATGGCTTCATTAAATATTACACTGTTCTATCGAGGATGTGAATCATCCCTTTGTCCATTGTATCAGTACTGTATATACTACCTACCTGGTAGTTACTTAGTAGCCTTCTTTGTTATTGCATCCGCTGTCAAGATATCACATACATAAAAAACTATAATAGTACATAAGATCCTAATGAAGTAATTAACAATGTGAAATAGGAAGAAAAGGGCTAAAGGTGTAGGGAAAGTAGGAAGGGTTGGGGAAAGGTAATAAGGGAAAAGAAAAAAATATGAGAAAATGAAAAAATGGAAATAAAATATTTCTAAATGGGGAGGGAAGGAGAGGGTGAAGGGAGGGCAGGGACAAGGGGAAAAAATGAGAACCAAAACCTGTCATGTAAAGGTACAAGATCTCAATGATGAATGTAACTGTACTGTATACCTAAAATGTACCTATAAACTCAAAACTTAAAAAAAAAATAGATATCACATACTTATGTGTTCAGGTAACCCTTAATAGTACTCTAAGGCTACATCACAGTGCTTCTACATAATTCACTTCATTTCATCTGAGCATATAGGCATCATATCTCACATTGTCACAAAAAGGATGAATACAATAAAAAAAATTTTTTTTTTTTACTACCGGGGATTGAACTTGGGTCCCTAATCCCTAGCCATAATAAAATACTTTGGGAGGCCATTATTTCACAGTATATTACTGTCATTTTTCTACTTTATTATTTTTGTTAATCTCTTGTTATGTTAACATAAATTAAAATTTATCTTAGGTGCATACATATAGGGAAAATTGTAATATTGTGTATATAGGATTGAGTACTATAGTTTCAGGCCTCAAGTTACAGTTCCCTGTCATTAAAGGATGACTTATTAATAAATAACAAAAGAGAAAGGAAATAAAGTGAAAACCAGTCAGGACTTGTTATTCACAGATTCTGTATTTCTGAATTTACCTATTTATTAAGATTTACTCATAATCCCATATTCAGTACTTATAAACTTTTCTAATTGTAATTACAAAAAAATTGTGATCAGGGGACCTGTAATTGCTCTTATAGTTTATTCATTTAGTTGTCATATATGGGTCTTAACTGTTATTTTCAAATGGAAACTCTTCTGTTTGTTTGTTTGTTTTGCAGAACCAGGGTTCAAACTCAGGACCTTGTGCCTGCGAGGCAGGTGCAGTGCCACTGAACTATATCCCCAGCCCTTTCTGTATTTTTAATTGAAAGCAACTCTTTGATTTCTCTGTTTTAAAAAAATTAGTGCAGATAAGGTAGTAAAAAACCTGTGTGCAGAGCTCCTTTCTGTACAATAAAAGTATTGGTAGAATATTTAAATATGACCAAAATTTCTGCCAGGTATGGAGGTGTATATCTGTAATCCAAGCACTTAGGAGGCTGAGGTAGCAGAATCACCATAAGTTCAAGACCTGCACTACATAATGAGACCCTTTCTCAAAAAATCAAAAAGTACATTGTATTTCCAGAGTTGTTCATTTATCCCATAGGCTTTGTTATAATTTTCTTTTCCCCATCCTCCTGATTAGCCTGAAATCTACTTTCTGACTATGAATTTGTCTGTTCCAGATTTATTTTGTGGAAACATAACAGTTATTTGCCTTTGCGTCTCACTTGTTTCACTTAGCAGGTTTCCAAGGTTCTTACATATTACAGCATGTAACAGAAGTTGATTCTTTTCTCTTTGGTACTAGGGATTGAACTCAGGACCTTGTGCTTGCAAAGCAGGCGGCGGCAGCACTGAATTAAATCCCTGGCCCAAAAATTGATTTCTTTTTTATGACTGAATAACACTTCACTTTTGGTATATATCACATTTGTTTGTCTACTCATCTGTGCTATTTCCACCTGTGAGGTAGTTGTGAATAATGCTGTAGTGTTTGAGTCCCTTTTCAGTTCTTAGGTTATATACCTAGAATTGCTGGGTCATATGGTAAGCTTACTACATTAGATGAACCATTTAACAGTTCCACCAACAATGTACAAGAGTTTTTGTTTGTTAGGGTTTGGTACTGGGCTTTCTTACTGAGCTACATCCCAGCTGTTCTTTAAATTTTGAGACAGGGTCTCACTAAATTACCTATCTTGCAGTTAAACTTGTTATCCTCCTGCCTCAGCCTCCCAGAGTGCTGGGGTTATAGGCATGCATCACCATGCATGGCTAGGAGTTCTAATTCTTCCACATTCTTGCCCACCCTCTTCATAGCCACTGTATCTGTAAATGAGCATGAAAGTGCTATAAAAGTATTAATTTTTAAAGTGACAAGGTTCAATGAGCAAAGTTGCAAATACAGAATGTGTGAAGTGAGTATTGTATCTTATGCAAATATACAGTGAATGTAACAAACACATAGTATGCACCAAGGTTTTAATAGTTCTAGATGATTGTAGAAAAAGTTTGAATATAGTGTTACAGTAAAGAAACAGTATTGGGGTCCAGGGATTTAGCTCAGTGGTTCCGCCTCCTGCCTCACAAGCACAAGGACCAGAGTTTGATCCCCAGTACCAAAAAAAAAAAAAAAAAAAAAAAAAAAAAAAAAAAAAAAAAAAAAAA